CTTCAACCGATAAATCAAAGACAACAAATCTCAACCCAACTCTGACAAAGGATTGAGCACAAGGATTTCAGGAAATTAAACCAAGGATGCGCCACAAAAAACCAAGCTCAGCCCTCTCCCTACTCCTGGCTAAACAGCTCCACTTCCCTGCTAGCGCAGGTTTTGAGCAGCCTCAGGGCAGGTCTTTAGCCTAAGGTAGTATTTTGGTTCCCAAACTACAGAGCTGTTGATACAGAGTATTCTGATAGGGGCAAAATAGAACCTCCTCATCTTTCCAATTATAAAAATATCAGATAAGTAAGCAACTTAGAGCTGCTGTCACCACTGTGGTACCTCAGCCCGCAAATCTCTGCAACACCTCCCTACAAATCACTGAGTTTCGAGATGATGTTTCCCATGTTAACTGAGTCAAAGGGAGTAAAATACCTCTTACAGCACTATAAAACTATCCCTGTTGAGAAGTATGCAGAAGAAAAGTTCTTTAAAGTGGATTTGTTCACTAAACAGAGTAGCTTTCAAGAGGTGGTCGGTGTAACTGAGAGCAGTTCAGAACCCAACACACCTGACAAGCTCCATCTTTTCCAGCAGATACAGGAGGGAATTCAACCTTTCTCTCCTGGTCGATGAAATTCTAAACATACATCACAACAGCCCTCACTGTCAGAAGGGGGAACAAAATGGAATCAAAGCCTTTGGTCTGGCAGGGGTTCCTTAGGGATGCACAGCTCCATTTCAGTAACTTGCAGAAACATGCAGCAGTATCACTCTGCCCTACCTGCTGAGCCAACAGCAGTATCACAGCAAAGGAAACCTCAGCAAGCAGCATGGAATTCCAGTTCATTTATTGGTCTCCTGGCCCCTGAGATGCCAACCCCTGTGCTAAAACCTCAGCAGCACCACGGCAACCAAGAGCATGGACAGCAGAGCCAGAGGAGGAGGAGCCTTCAACACCAGCAGTGGCTGTGGAATGGGAAAGATTCAATTCAGCAAAGTAGAAATCCCTTCTGGTGCAGCTGGAGCAGTCTTGGATGCAGCAGTGACAGCATCAGCCCTGCAGATACTGAAGTGTGCTTGCATTTCTATCACCCATTTGTGCATACTATCACAGCACCACTTTCTTACACGACCATTTCTACCAGATCAATGCTCTAAAGTGTAATCTTCTCCTGACCACAAACAGTTGGACTGGAAAGGGATAGATCTTAATTCAGAACCAGCTCAAAAGGATCCTTTATTTCTTTCAGTACTCTGTGCACTCACCCTACAACTGGTTTCTAAGCAGGGACTGGTTTCTAAGCAGTGACCCAGTGCCAGGCTGGCCACACTCAACGTACCACTGTCCACACTAGAATTGAGGCATTCTTCCAAAACTACTTAAATAGCCAATTAGTTCTTCTTAAGCACCTCAGTAATTTATTGAGACTATTTACTGAAAGTCCAAACATTGCGAGATGCTAAAGGCTGAAGCCTCTTTGGGCTTAATATCAGAAGTAACAGACAAACTACTTCCTAAAATTTGGCTTTCAGTCACTGTGAGCCTGTCAGGTGCTCTACACCCGTTGCTTATGAAACCAGAGCCCTCATGTATAAATACCAGCAGGCGTGCAGGATTTCAGTCTATTTTAAACAAGAATTTGATACAAGATACTACCTTTGAAGCTGGGATTTAATTTTAGTATTAGTCAGGAACAATTTATTACAAAACAAACAGACCCAAAGACTTTCCAGGTGGCATTTATAGAGAAGTGTTTTAATCTACCACTGTAATCCCAGGATGGAGCAGAGCAACTGGCTAACAGCTCACTACACTATGAGCAACAACTGGATCCCAACAGAGCTACCATGTTCAGCTGGAAGTGCTGATGGAAACTTCTGAACTTAAAGACAACACAATTATTTTGCCTGGAAGCAGAAGGAATAAGAAACAATTGCATGTCGGGTTTATTATGTAAAGGAGCAATGTGGTCAGTGCAGGGTGTCCCTGCCCATGGGCAGGGGGCTCGAACTGGATGAGCTTTCAGGTCCCTTCCAACACAAACCACTCCATGATTCCACAAAAATGTAATAAGAGTAAATTTTGTTGATGGGAACTGCACATCACTGGAGTATTTTCTTCAAGGACACTTGTTTTCAATGGTAGATGCTGTAACTAACACAGCAAGAAGGGCATTTACATGATTTTTATTACTATATAACTCTAAATCAAGCAAGACAAGAATCAGACCATTTCAGTCCCCATGGTTATTCTTCCAACACACAACCTCTGTTGAGTGCTACAGCTCCACACACCGATTTGAAGTTCATTATCAGTGTGGCTTTCCCAATCCTTTATAGCAGCAGCCAACTGGCTCAAAGCTGTCCGCAGACCTCTGTCAGGATGGAAGCCTGGCTTGTACAACCTGACCTAGCAAGAGCATAAACACCTAACAAGATCAATAAGGAGATGATGGAACACCACAGCGCACACACACTCTGCATGCTCAAATGAGGAAACAGGAGTTGGCACACCGAGCATCCTGAGCTGGATCAGGATTGATTGATCAGACGTCGCAGAAGGCTCCCAGCAGCTCAGACCTGCAAAGCTCAGGTACTGAACACACACCAAGCAGTCTACTGAAGCAACTATGCTTCATGAACTGGCAACATGATGTCATTTCCAAGAGCAATAAAGAAGTGGCAATGCCTATTGCTACAGGCAACTCACAACCTCTTTTTCATCTGATTAAATTCTGGCTTTTAAACGTAATTGTTCCCCCAGTAGGACTCTGCAGCAAAGCCCCTGACCTCAAATACAACCTGTCTGTATCTTTACCTGACCAAAATCTCCTGTGTGAAACTAACCACCAAATGGAAAGATTCCTGGCAACTCCTTCAAACAGGATACGCTCTCTTGGACCTCACCTTGCTTGATCCACCGGTCACACTGCACACAGCTCCCCACAGATTTATCTTGGTCGCTTTAGAAAGTGGGGTACCTTTGTGATTACCAAAAGGAAGTTGGAAGCAAGAACACCAGTGTTCCATTAATTCACTGTCACAGAGTGACCGCAGGCTACTTGCTGAACTTGTCTTTGTCTCAGTTTCTCCATTTGCAAACACTATTTGGAAATCTCCTCATGAAAAGAACTGCCATCCTGCTTTATGTTAGAAAAACAGCTTATAATGCTGGAACTTTTTTATTTGAATTGGCATTTCTCTCCAATTTAACTAGAGTCAAGTACCCTCCAAAGAGAGTGCCAAAGTAAGCAAGTTACAACAGAGGAGCTCAAGGTTCACACCTATTGCATTACAGCTCTCCGATGCCAGACAGCATCCTAAAGGTTGCTTAAGTTTCTTGCTCTCCTACTGTCTGTTTCCACACTAATGATCATGTGTTCATCCAGTTTCTTCTGTTCCTAAAATATATATAGTTACAGGGCTACAATTTTTCCTGCTGTAAACTTACCTTTTGTGCTGCCAAACTGGCAGCCTTTGGAAAGGTAATCCCCTTTAAATTTGCTTTAAGATTTTACATCTGTTATGTTAGTGCCAGCTGGCTGAACATATCCATCAGCAGGACTAGAGCAACTCAGCAAAGCATGGACTCAGAAATGCATTTCCTTCTTTACCATGCTAAGAAGGTTTGCAAACAGGTGACTGTCAAGTGCTGCAGTAAATCTGGGTCTTAGGAAGACTTTTAACATGTCCAATATGACATTTTGGACATGTCACATATCCATTTTCATAAACAGAACAAGTAGGCATGAAACAACTGCAGGGTAGTGGGAATTCAGACGATGGAAAGCATTAAACTGGAAGGACGCAAGAAGTGGGGCTTTGGCAAGGATTCATTCCAACACCAATACTCTTTAGCATTGTCATTTTAAATTTATCTGTTATGAGCTTACCATCAAATCAGGAATGACTGAAGATGCTTTGGAATCAAGAATCTAATTCTAAAGGCATTAGGCAAGGTGGCAAAGTAACCTGAAATGAGCTGCCACAATTCAGTGCTGATAAGTGCAAATACTACACCTAGTAAAAGATAACTTTATCAGCATTCAGCGTGGTGATTGTTCATGGACTGCTGTTCCCCACATACATCACCTCCTTGCTCTACCCAGCACTTGGCAAGGTTTCAAGTACAGCACTGGCCGCCAGACCTCCTGGGATGTGGGAAGCAAAGGAAGGGGACATGGAAGGTACTGACCAGACACCAAGAAACATCTGTACACACTGAAAAGTACAAGACACCTCCTCTGTAACAGAGCAAATCCAACGGCCACATCCGACTAGTGGTATGCAAACCAGCACTACTGTAAAAATAAAGGGGCCTTTTGACAGAGAAATATTAACACCAGGATCTCAAAAGCCCAACTTCATAGTTTATTTAAGCCACAAAGAATTAGGAGCAGGAGCAACATCACCCTTCTCCCAGCCAGGAGACCAACATCGGCCTGAGCCTCAAGCAGCAGCAGCTATCATGGAAAGCCTTGGCTCATCACTACCCTGCAGGGTGACAGCCTTTATTTAATCAACAAAACTTTCCCCATCCAAGCCAAAAAGCGATATGGAGTCATTGACCTTCTCGAGGGGTGATGCCAATTCTCTGGCTACATATAAAACAGCAAATCCTACATAAAGACATAATAAGCAAATAATGTTCTTGCTCTCAACAAACATGACCCACCTGAGAGACACACAAGTGAAACCTTTAAAGGTCTCAGTGGACAACTTTCTGAAAGGCAGGACAAGAGACAGGCAGTGCCAGTAAACCCATCACAACACTCAATAGCTGAGGTGTCTGAAAGATGCTCAAGGAATTTGAGCACAGCTATTTCATTAAAGCCAACAGAAAAGAGAAGGTTTTGATACAAATAAACATACAAGAGGTCATTTAGAAACAGAATGCCAGAAGATGTTTTGGGACAACAAAAACTGGAGCCAAACCTGGATATAAAGTTGAATCTTTCGAATGGATGGGGTAAGAAGACTGAACCCAGGTACTGTTTTATCCATACCTCATATGGGTTGCCAGGCCATCTTGAGCATTGGGAAGTCCTAGATCTGACAGGGAATCTGAGCAGACAGAGACAGGCGACAAAGACCTCTCCTTCTCCTCTAGCAGGTCAAGTTTCACCAAGGAGCTTGTCTCATCTTCCGAGTTATCCTCTGACACAGAGCCAATAATGAAGCGAGAGTGAGGGTTCTCCACAGGTTTAGTGGGTTGGGAAGACTCTTCCATGGCTCCTGCAAATTGGGCTCTCAACACTGTAAGGGACAAAAGAAAGCCAAAACACAAACCCTGAGGTGAATAAGGTGCTTTCCAGTCCACCCTCTGCTCTGATTCAACAGAATCATCAGAGCTGTAACCAACATAATAAGATCATTTCCTGCAAGGTTAGCATGTGGAACAGGAGCAGCCAGGGGATCAGACAGAAAGACACTGGTAAGGAATGACGGGGCCAGAAGCAAAACCTCCCCTTTTTGGCAGCAGTGAACTGTCAGACTGGCTCAGCCATCTTCTGTACCTTCACCCTGACTTCAACCTCTTGGTCCCACAACATCCATGTCAATTAGGGGACAGTATCTACCTTATGGTAATATACTGAAACTTAGTGGCATGATTTACAATTGTCACAGGAAAATACAAAAGTACAGGTCTCCGTTTTCCATTAAAAGTTATTACATAGAGAAGACTCTCTTCATACAGAGAACTCTATCAAACATCCAGTGTTGGGAATGACTGTGTTTTCTTCAACGTTAAAAAAAGAATAGAATACTTACAACTGAGAAATGACGGAGAAACCAAAGGAGTACCTCACAGCATACAGACAGGTGGGATGGGGCAGCTCTGATAGCCCTGCTCTGCCTGGCTTCCAGGCACTTAGACAGTAATTACATGCAGCTGGAAATCACAGCATTATAAGATCAGGTGTGCACCAACCTCTTGTTATCCTTGCCAGCTGAGCAGTTATCCACTTCCAAAACGAACTGGAAAATAAAAGAATTAACAAGTCCATATTATTATAAAGAATTCTCTGTGTTTTCCAAACTACCTGTATCTTGGATCAAAAAGCTGTTATTAAAAAGCCACAGGTACCAAACTGACTTGATGGGCTTGCTCCAGATCACAGAGTACCAGGGAACTGAGCCTGCCAGTCAAGTCTCTCTGGCACCTTCTGAGCAATGTGTATTTTAGTTCTGCTTCTAGAAGAAACTATGCTTTCTACCAGGGCTATCTACTTATGTCAATCTTTTCCTCTGTCAGCTTCTGAATGTGCTGCTGCCTTCAGCTGCATTTGATGGTCAGGAGTAAACCCTGATAATTAGAAATCTCATGAGGAACTGGTGGCAAGAAGACACAGCTGACACTAGTTCACCAGTAAAACCAACCATGATATAGCAACACAGACAAGGGCAAGATGAGGGGATATTCACTTCAGGGTCCCATTCTCCAAAGATGGACTCCACTATGCAGAGGGACTCTTTTGATGCCCTTAACTCCCAAGTCCTAAACCGACGCAAAAACCTCACAAGTCCTTGCTAATGATAGCCATGTTATGCCAAGTACAGGGATGCAGCATGGTATGTTTGAATGAGAACATGACAGCTTTCATCTGGTATACAAGCAAAACTGAACCATGTTATAACACAAGTAAGACCTGATAGTAGCTTTAATTAGAGCACAGACAAGGAATTTACAGGCAGTGCAATCCTTACACACCGTGCTCTTTCTTTTCATCACTGAGAATGAGAAACTGATCCAACTGGCTTATGCACTTTTACCATGAATGTACTTGACTGAACTATGTACACCCAAACTTGTGTTGACATCATTACTCCCACAAACTCCAGTTTCACTGCGGCCACAGGTGGTTCATTTCACAGACACACTTGATCATTTTGTAACCAAAATGCCACAAACACCTGTCTGAAACAGTCACCGATAGGGTAGCGATGGATATGAAGGGGAAGCGTGGCTGCAAAGCCCATGTACCCATCAGTGACTAAATCGATGCATAAACTAAAACCAATGCATAAACTAAACCATACAGGAAGATTTCTTTAGCTGAGGCGCTTGGGCAGGACTTGCAGCTCAGATAGCACCAAGTTTAATCCAATCTTGTTTGTGCATATAAACCTAGAGACAGTATTTACGTGTTTATTCAGCCTGGCATCAAATCACATCCAGACAATTTACTGCTGGCACAGCTACCAGTGCTGAGGAACCTGGGATACAGCCAAAGCAGCTTCAACCCTTTCTTAATGAATGAAAACTTTTTCTCATATCAAGGACTTACACATTAATAAACAAGTTTTGAGGCTTTGTTTTCTCCTTGCTAAGCAGAGAAGGAAACAGAGGAAGAGGCAGTGAAGTGTTTCACTCCAATACTCCATCAGAAAGCATCAAACTAACACCACAGCTCCTGAGCCCCAGTGTTGCTCAAGCACCTTGTTTGTACAACTCTGTTCAAAAGCAGTTAGTTATCCATGAAGGCCCATTCAAATTCACTCACCAACACACTTCCAACCCAGTCCCAAAGCCAGGAGTCCCACTAACGTTTTGCAATCAGTTGGGAACTCAGGACTGTTCTGAATTAGACATAAGCTTGTTCTCAGCACGCATTATTCAGTTAAATTAATACCAGCACTGTCTGGGTCTAAACAAAATATAGACTCACTCAGAGATGTCTTCACAGAAGCCTTTTGCTTTCAGTGCTGCACCTCACCAAACCTCTGCACGTTACATTCTCTGCCTGAGACATAACTGCCCCAGCTCCCAGCACACATCTTGAATTCAGCTGACCACCAAGACAAGGCTCACATACCATTAACCAGTGTGGATGTATTATTTGTTTTAATAATGATGAACCAGAGCCTAAAACCCCAAATAGTCAGGATCCTCAACATAGCCCCTAGACATAGTTTTGCAGGCAACAGGCTGGCACACAGGCTAACTCTGCAGAGAGACTGGAAAACCCCGTGATTTACAGAAGGATTTGGATTGAGAATTCAACCCTGCAGAGGTTTAAGAGCAGGTAACACTGAGCACTCTGAGCCTGCTCAGCTACAGAGATATGTTTTAATGACAGCTGAACCTACACAGAGCCTGAGCCGTGCTGCCCTCCCTCCTCCTGAAGAAATCAGCCTGTGTTACAGGTCTGAAGACATCCAGCACTTCGTAACTCCCCAGCGTTGCTGGCATCATGGTGTAAAACCCAAATGGCATTCACGCTACAAGCAATGAAAACCCTGCAATCCAAATTCAAACAGTAACATATCTGGTTTTGCCTGATGCTCTACTACTATCGTTAGTACAATGTTTGGCCTGACAGGGAACAGTGACAGACTTTGCAAGTCTCAGTTTCATTTTAAGCTTATTCTTATTATTATCCAACACACTAAGGCACACAAATAATGTCAGTTGGAAATTCAGCTTTTACTATTTCCAAGCCATCCCATTCTGAAGATAATTACACTATTGAAAAGGGCATTATTTCAGCGAAAACGAGTTGTAGGTTCTGTCAAAGCCTCAGCATAGCACCTCTATGATATGTCATATGAAAAGGAAATTAACAGAACTGGTTTTATTTCAAGGTTTCCCGTTTATAGGCCAGGGATCTGTGCCTTCAACCCCACCCCTGGTGGGCTTTGGGGGCTGAAGAACACAAATACAAAACAACAGAATGGACGGGTATTTTTCCCACCCAAACTGAATGAGTAACAGAAAGCAAAGGACCAACAAAGGTACAGACAAAGTAAAAAACGATGTATCATCTGCATAACAAGTTGAGTTTTACTGCACACAAAATCAGCAGCATGCTCACCTGGAAGCAGGGCTCCAGGTTGGGAATGGGCACAGGGATTAGCTTTGTACCAAGAGGAACCACCACACACCAAACCCAGGGAGCTCCTGCCCACGTCCCACCAGGCCAGCTCTCTGCAGCACTGGTTTGGTGCAGCTGATGGGTCAAACCCTGCTCCCCCCGGGCCGTTCCTCAGTTAATAACTGCACTTTGCTTCACTCCCTACCCTAAAACATCCTCTGCAAGTACCAAGCACGCTGTGAAGCTCTTTTGCTTCCAATGTGTCGAAAGGTACTTCACAAACTGCATGTCCACAGGTTAGAAGTTCCACTCTGTTTTCAGGTTTACTGAAACCTTAGACACATAAATATAGAAGTGGAATTTATGCTTCCTAGGTCTCCTGAGGTAAATATGTCTATGTCTCTCCAAAAGAACCTGAAGACAAAAAAAGTGCCTATATTTACAGCCACCCTAACCTGCCAAGACACTCAAGAGTATGTGTGAATCCCATTGTCTCTGGGAGAACTGGGCATAATCTGAACAGTTTGCTGATCACTTACAGATAAATTGGCACAAACCACACTATTACTTTAGATTATTAATCTTTTTTAACGTGGCATATTTCATTTTAAAACTTTCTCAGGCAGATTTAAGCAGTACCACAAAAGGAGATGTAACAATAACGATCTGTTTTGCCCTGCAAATACGCTTTTACAACTTAATTGTTCCTAAGCACTCCGCAACACCTTCGGGAAGGCATGTCCAGGCCCTCCGAAGAAACGGGCCCGAACTCTTCCCTTGAGATCCTGACATGCGATCAGGGATGGGAAGATGCCGGGGATGAGGAGCGATGCCTCAGCGGGCAGAGCAGCGCCGGCCCCACGCTGGTCTGGCGGCTCCAACACTCCCGATTTTATCGGCGGTGAATTAGCCCTCTCGCAGGAGACAAAACCACAATCAAAACCATGCTGCCTTCATGCCGCGTTGTTTCGCGCTGGAGCAGCGGGGAAGCCCCACGAGGGATGGGGCCGGGCCACAGCGCGGCCGCGGGCAGCAGCGGGGCACCGGGAGGAAACGAACCAGCTCTTCCGGTCGGCGGGCGCGGCTCCACGCCGCTTCCCCGCGGCTGGGTACCCCCATCCCACCTTCCAGGACCTAAGGCAGCCCTGCGGAGCCTACAGCCCCGAGCACCGCGCCCTCCAGACAGCACAAAGCGGCCGGCGCGACTCGCCTCAGCACGGCACAACGTGAGCGGATCATCCCGCGCTCCCCCGGGCCCGGCCCCGCCCAGCCCCACGGGCCCGCGCAGCACCGCCCGGCGGGACACCGGTGACCGGTGGCTCCCGGTCCTCCAGCGCGGGGTCCCTGCGGAGCGGGCCGCGGTGCTCACCTCAGCGTGCCGGGCGCTGCGGAGGCGCGGCGGGCCCCCGACCTGGCGGCTGGGCGGCGGAGCTGGCGGGGGCGCGGCGCGGCGCCCCCATCCACCGCCAAACCACGCCCCCTTGCCCAGACCACGCCCCTCGCGTCCGGCCACGCCCCCCACGGTGGTGTGATGCATGGAGTTACCTCAGGTCAGACACCTCCAACCTTGCCCCGCCTGCGCCGCTCCCATTGGCTGCCGGAGGGAACACAACGGGGGGCGTGACCAATCAGGCGGCGCGTGCGGGCGTGGCCAATGAGGAGACGCCTATGGTCTGAGCGGCCGGTTGGCCCGCCCACTATCTCCCGGTGCTGGGAGGGTGCCGGTGGCCAGGCTGGCCAATACACACCAGAGCCCCCCCTCCGCCCGGTCTCTGTTGGCGCGGCCCCTCCGGGACCCCCGGGGCTCGTCCCCTGCCCCCGGAGCTCCCCACACGGCTCCCGGTCCCCAAACCGCTGTGGTACCCGCACGGTGCGGGCCGGACCACCGGCAAGCAGCAGGGCCGATAACGGGGTCATAGACCGGACACCGAGCAGCAGGATACCCCCGCCCCTCCCGGCTCTGCACCGCCCGGCGGGGAGGACCCACGTGGAGCCGGAACACCGGCCCGGGCACCGAGCAGATACACGTGCTAGGCGGCTGGGAAGCAGGCCAGGCGCTGCCCGCGTGTTTGTCCTGCAGCCATCGCTGTGCGGATGGGCAGCGAGTGTTAAGTTTCATTTCAAGATGGCCGCACTGCCCGGCTCCTCACATCCACACCAAAGACTCAACTTTAACTCCTGATGCTGCCGGACCTGCTCCCTGCGCAGGCAGAGCCTCCTCCTGCTGCGATCGGCAGTGCTGCCAGGGGTGCTGTTGAGCACCCACACAAGCAGCTTTCGGCCCTATCCCATGTTCTGGCAGGGCTCAGTGCCATGCTGCCTTCCTGCCGTGCCCAAAGGGACAGAAAGAACACCCGTCCCTTGCTGTGCCTTCCTCTGGTTCAGGGGAAAACGGGGGTTTCTTGTATCGTTTATACATGTGCTCGGCTCTTTACCCCTGCCAGGTTTGAGAGGATACCCCTGAGAGCACACCCCAGTCTGGGGACTGCTCCAGGACACTGCTCAGAGCTCACAGCAGCAGCAGCAGGAGTGGTAATGAAACAGCAAACTCCTCAGACACCCATTTCAGTTTAAAACTCTGGGTAATTTCTTCTTAAAACGTGTTTTAAGGCCAAAATCAGCGGTTCCAGGATAAGCAAGAACTGCACCCCTAGGAAATACTGTCCTGTAGCATGTGGTGGGGTCTGTGCCCCCTGCACAAGTACTCCACATCCAGAAAACCTGACTGGGGGCTTTGTGGTTAATCATACTGTGTGGGGGAACAGACTGTGTTCTCCCCTCCACCTGGACTGAACCTGGAGGATTGTTCTGGGCAGTGATACTTTAATTTATGGCTCTGTAGATGTGTCTTTTACTTTAAAAAATCCTCCTCTATTTAAATATTTTTATGAAGGACCTAAAGGCTACTTGGTGTTAGTTAATCATACACTGTGCTCAGTCCCTGCAGAAGCGAGGGGGAGTACTTGGCACACCGAGGGATCATGTCCTAAATCACTGATAATAACTACATACAGAACTTACAAAACCAGAGATTACAACAGGTGCTTGGTTCAACCTGTCTAGTGCTCCGAGTACCCTGGTCATGCTAAAACCTGCCCATCTCACCCATTCGGTTAATAAATACTGTTCAAATACTGCTGGAGGAGTGATTGCTCCATGTAATTAAATCCTGTAGCAACTCTCCCAATTCAAGGGCAAAGAGAGAACAGGAAAAAGAGCAAATCAAATACATTAACCTTAAAATAAAGCAGGGACTTGGAAGGTGATTTTGAAATTAGGCAGTAACAACAGCCCCAGGCCATGCTCAGCTCTGATGGCCTCAGAGCAGCACTTCATTTACCACTGTAACTACCACCCATCATTCTGAAGGATGGTTGTTAAAAGCCTGTACATGTACAGTACGGAATGGATCCCAAAATACTCCAAGATGTGAATTCTATTTAGGCAAGTAAAAGCATAGCTACAAAGGACTAGTTAAAATGTGTTTAAGCCTCGCACTGATCTGTGGTTTAATACAGGCAGACTGTTTACAAACTTCAGCCTTACTTTCCCCCAGGCTTATCACGTTATGAATTGTAAACACATTTCTGCTTGGTCCTGTTTCTGTTATGCTCATAAAGTGGGCACACTACAGACATGATTTACTCCTATTGCATGAGTTATGAGCACAGGCACTGTTTATGTGTGCAACCCCAACACCCACCCACACATCTCAGAAAAAGCAAGTGTAGCCTCAATAATGCAAGAAAATCATTGCCAAACAAATACAGGGAAAACATTAGTACCTTTTATGATGCCACGTCAGGGCTCCAGGTCTCTTCTCGGCTCTGATAACATCCCCAGTGCAAACACAGGAAAGATCATCCCAGGTTTGGGGGGTGAGTGACGACATCCATCCTGGCACACCTCAAGTCCTGGCAGGCAAGTAAAGAAGAGAAAGGTCAGGGCATGTTTTAAAGCAAAATCCTGCTTTAGCTGCTTAGAAAATGTTCCAGAAGGTTTTAAACATTAGGAATGAAATGTTACTCCCCACAACGCTGACCATATCTGCCTGTTTTCAAGGATAATCACTAACAAAACACCCCGCTCTCCCCAGCTGGTAGGTTAGCCGCCATCACTACAAGATGTGCTCTTACTGGTCCCAAGTTTCCTTACAGCTTCAGGAAGTGCCCTAAATCATCCTGTAAAACTGGTGTTAGGATTGTCTCAGCATTCCCAGCCCAGGAAGTGAACAGCAGAACTAACTGGAAAGCAAGACAGCGCACTGTAGATGGGATGGTGAACATTTAGTGAAGGTATTGGTTAAACACATTCAAAAGAAATATTTAGTTGTTTGAAATGATTTATAATCTAATTCCCTTTCCAACAGTTTTTTGATTCCAAATGATTTCCATCTGAAGTTGCATAAGAATTAGCAAGTACGAAAATAACCTTAGAAAGAGGACACAGAAGTGTCTTATCCAAACTTTCAGTTTTAAAGATGTTTCTGATCAGCTGAGTGAGAACACACTGAGAAGACAAAATCTTCCTCTATAAATGACCCTAATAGGATCCTTGGAGATCCACGAACTGCATTTCACAGGCAGAGAAATGTGAGCAACCGTTTTTGTTTGATTCTGCATTAATACACTATTTCCTAAACAAAAGATGCATTCAGCTGAGTGAGCATGTAGATGTGTTGCTTTGCTGCTACATACCCATTGTACTACACTGGAGGGGAGGATTGTGTCAGGAAGAGTTAAAACCTTGTTTATTTACACCGGAAGATGGGGAATGGTTTCTTTACATTCCTTCCTTGTGCTTGGTGTCAAGCTGCAGTTTATGGTAAGTGGCTGCCAGTAATAAACAAGCACAGCATTTCAGCAAAATACAATCAAATACAAGGGCCAGTTTATCGGGAAGCCCTGCCAGGTATGGAGCAGACCACATGCACCTCATGAGTCAGCCCATGTGAGATTCTCAAACTATCTTATCTTTTCACAGCTTTACCATAGTGGTTTTGGGGGTTTTCTTCCTATTCTACTACTGGCTTTTCAGTTTTCACTGAAAAAATCACATTGAACAAAGCAGCTGAATACACTCAAACGAAAATCCTGCAAAAGCTCAAAGAGAATCTGGTTTTATAGCACCTGATAGATTGTAAATATTAAATATTTATACTAAAATCCATCCTTACCCATCATGAATAGCTAAACTTAATAGGCATGCAAAATAAATATTGACATGCAAGCCCTTGCCACTCCATTTGCTCTCTTTTGAAACTTAAACATCTTCTTAAACATTACCAATACTTCTTGAGTCTCTCGAGTATCAATCACATTGTGGGATGTCAGGGGTTATTTTAGACGATTGGACTGCAAAATTCTACCCTTCCGTGATGGGGGCCATAAACCTGTGGTTAATCAGCACTTTAAATGCTGAGGCTTTGCAGGACAAAGTGATTTCCATCGCCACCTTCTGTCTAAGACAGAAAATGCCAGTTCCCCCAAAACCATCTGCACGACAGCCTAAGGAATCTCACCAAGGCTTTCTGATTAAACCTGCAGGCAGTAGCCTGATTTGTTTCTGTATTTATTTCTGTGCTTATGCACAGCTAATGTGCAACTATTTATGCCCCCACAGCTACACGCAGCAGCACACCCAGCCCTGGAAGCAACCAGCACCAGGGCCGGCAGGTAAACACAGGCTCCCTCCACTTCCTAAGCACTTTTAGGCTTTATTAACAATCTGAAAAGCAGGAAATGGCCTGGGACCAGCCTGCTTGGCATGACCACCGCAGTGGAAATCCCTGCCAGTGCCAAAAGACCTGTGAGGGCTGGTGATGCTGACTGAGGGATTACGTGGTGCTGGTTTTACTGTGCCCAGCGGCATAGGTATTGAGCCAGGCTTGTGCAGCAAGGCCCATGGGTGTTGAGGGCCAGGAGAGGTTGCTGAGGTCCCTCCCCTTGAGAGAAAAGGCTTTATGTAAGGGTTCTGTTTGTCTTTCAACAATGGGGCGTTGCCATGGCGGTCCCATTTTAGAAGGAGCTCCATCCCATGGCAACCAGTGGCCTGCATCAGGACACGAGGGTTAACCTGCGACATACCTACTGAAAGGAAATCTGACCCACAGAAAAGATTTTCAGGTGCATTTTTTACCAAATTTCATATTTTTTTCTGCAGAACCATCTACAGTGAGTTCAGGCTCTAACTTTAGACTCTCCATTTGTTGACCAGGTTAAAGAGGCGTGATAACAGAGAGGTTTGGGATCTCTCCTAATCGCTCAGTATCTGCTTAAACAGCTTTACGACCTTACTCAAAGGAAGCAGTAAAGATAAAAAGGGCTTCAAGAGTATCAAGAAGAGATACAATTATGCTCCTAATACTAATATTTAGCTTAGTGTTTTTGACCAACAGTCTCAACAGAGAAGGTGAGTGGGTCACATACTTGCAAGTTCTAACTGAATTAAACTAAGGATTAAGAGACTCCCTTCTGTAGTATTAGGAATGTACCTTTGTAATTTAACTTTCCTCTATCATATGCTGAACTATGTCTTTAATCCTTACACCCTCACCTCAAATTCCGCATTCTTGCTGTCAGCAAAAGGTTAACATTTAAAAGTAGTTACTAAAACAGGGGAGTAGTGACTTAACCCTGCATTGTTAGTAAAAATGGCCCTTGCTTCATTCCCTCAGACCTCAGAGACTACAAATGGCGTGGGGAAAATGCCTCAGACATAGGTGATGGAGTAAGGAGCCTGAAGATCTTCCTGCAAGGTAAAGAGTCACTGAAGAGGAAAGCTGTAAGGGCTCTGCACCGTGTGGTTACTGTTTTCATCTGTCTCAGCTACTCCTCAGCCACCTGACCAAAAAGCATGTAAAAGATCATGCAGAATTTTAGCTCTGTTTTGCTGAAGGAAAACCAACTCAAAGAGACCCTTATAGCGACCTCAGCTAACTGGGCTGCCCTCAACCTTTTGTGAGAAGAACTGCAAATAATTTAAGAGAAGCCATTTCTAATGTTTCTTATCCTTTTCCAGCCCCTGGAATAGCAGCAACCAAGGGGAAGTTAAAAAGAGCCCAAAAAGTTATGACCCTGGAATGCTTCAGCCATCAAAGCCCTGTGCAAGTAGATGTGCTGTACTTGAAGGGGACAAGCGGATATGTGACAGAGTGGACAGTAGAGAAGCAAATCCTACACGACCTGAACACCTTCAGCAATGCAGATGGGAAACCTGCCACCGGCCGTATCAGTGTTTCACAAACACAGCACAGGAAGGTGCTTCCAAACAAACTTCTCATTAGAGAAAAAGGTAGGAAATTCAATATAACAAAGGGAAGTTTAAGTATGTCAGAGGATGGCAGTGTCCTATTTCATACAGCTGATTCCTCAGCAGTTATTTAAAACAACAAACCTGTTTGTATCTCTCTATTAAGTAGAAAGTAAGGACCCAGAATTAACACTGCTGAAAGCTTCAGGGTTTGGGACAATTCTATGCTTCTGTTCTCACTTCCTTTGGGAAGGCCAGGACATTTTGGCAAACAGTCTCCAATATTAATACCTGTAGAAAATTCTGTACATTGGAAACTATATACAAGCAAGAAAACTATTTCTAGCACTTCACTGCGAATTGCCAGCTGTGTCAGCGTGCACTTCAGCTGCTCCTGGCTCTTCCCTTTATGCAGAAGCAAACATCTGCTTTTAACCTTCTTTTTGCTCCCAGTGCTTCTGGAAGGGATATCAGATTGCGTTGTAACAGCAAAGCTGCCCAAGATCAAAGTTTCTGCAGAGGGTTTGGCTGGCCTGGAGATGTACCGTGGAAACCAGACTTTGTACAGTAAGTACCACTTCTCCCATTGGAGTCACGCAAGCAGCACAGGGGCAGTGTAAGGGTAGGAAAAGATAGAGCTTTCACACACACAGCTCTGGTGAAGTTCTTCCAAAGAACCGTTTCTGGGAATAGCTGTATTGCCTCTCACAAGAGATGCCACAGTCCCTGGCACTTTGTCAGTCCATGGCTGTAATGAGAGGACAGCATTTCAGCCCTGACCTTCACAAGAAGTTACCTGTGTCCAAGTGTGCCCCACAGAGGCTCCCAGATTCCCTTAAGAACCTCACTGGGCTTCAGTGGGAAGTTACAAGCCTTACCACTGTGACTGGGTTTGCACACCCACTTCAGCAGGAACTCAAAGATACTGGAAGTATTTTAAGGTAAAAAGTTTCTGAGATTTTAAAGAGATTTAGAGCTTCCTGTGAAAGCCTATGGGAGACTCTGAACTGTTCCTCTGCTCAGGTCCACCCAACTTAGCCCAGCCCAACCAAAATGAAGAAAACTTTGAGCTGTCAAAGACTTGTAAGCACACCTGAAATACTCTTCTCAATCTCATTTTAGATGGAACTCCACTCGCAGATGACAAAGACATGATGAACAGACCGAAACTTAGTATCATCCTCAAAGCGTTCATCATTGGTATCATAATGGCCTTTGCAATATGCTACATAGTGTTTGCTATATGCAAAATTCCCTGCTCGGTAAGTTTCTGAATACAACAGCTTCTTATCTTAGTCCCTCACGCTCAACCAGAATACAACCTTGTAAGCATGACTGATGAGCTGAGCCCTTCGAAAGCCTTCCACCTCTAAACTGTCCTTCTTCAGGTGTCAGGATTACCTCTCACAGATGGCCAGCAGATGCCCGTGCTCAAAGGACAGGTCACCCTCTCTCATCTTCTAGGCTGCAGGATGAACTATTTAAACATGCTGGTGGAAGGTGTTTATACAAGAAGGAGATACTGAGAACAAAAGACACCAGGGGTTGCAATATGCCAACTTCCTCCCATAAAGCCTTATTTCTTTAATGCCTAAAAATCCAGTAGCACCACCATGGGCCCTCCAGAAACAAGAGCTGTTTTAGTTCTGAACAGCTGGTATTCCCCATATTCCCCACCATGACCTACAAACCCCTAACTGCTTTTGCTTCCTTCCCCCAGGGCTTGTGGGTCAAGTACATCATCATCCACAAAAGACGGCCTGCAGGCAACATTCCAGCATATGGCCAAACAGCAAAGCTTTTAACTCCAAGTATGACTGAAAAGGAGACAATGGAAATTTTTGTCTGACTCTCCTTCCCCAGGTATTGTTGGTCATGGTCAACCAAATCTGACTGAGAGGTAGCAGGCCTCAGTGCAAGCGGTTCCCAAGTGAAGTAATTTCCAAGTGATTAGGTAGTAAGGAGACAGCTAAACCAGTCCCTGGTGGAAGCTGGGTGGGCTCAACCGTCCCCATGCTGGGCAAACAGCACCCGCAGAACGTGCCATCATCATGCCCATGGTCACAAGCAGAGGTGGAAGGGAGCTAAATGAGACAGAAGGGAAGCTGGGACCATCAGCATGGGGAGGATGTATGGGGATAGGCTAACCCATACTGCTCTTTCCAGGGTAACCTGGCTTTAGGTGCAAGTTACTGGGCTTGAAGACAGACCTATCCTTCCCCCTCAAAAAATTACACATCCCTGAATTATTAAGGTGCATTTTCATGAAGAAATTATATAATCTTGTTCTTCCTACGCATTAAGTGAACTGCTGAGGTTGAACAGCTGTACTGTACTCCCACCTTTCACTGAGACTTGGGATCAAGTCACTTAACTTCAGCTTATCCAGTTACTTGTCTGTCACCCAGCTCTAACAACTGCCCTGTAGTAAGGTCAGATTGCTCAGCCCTGCTGACAGACAAGAAGCCCTCTGCATATCACACATACAGAACAAACTACTTGAGAGCATTCAACCTGCAGAAATTAGCTGTAAATAATTTCAAACAGCAAATGAAAATCACCTCATCTGTTAGAACTTCTGAGGAGAAAAAGGCAGCCCGTGAGCACATTATTCATTACAAATTATCCATTCGGATCTTCTCAGAGTGTAACTGTAGTGAAAAACGTGCTGTAGTGAGAGGCTCAGAAAATGAACTGAGACCCTTCAGAGCTATTTCATGTAAGCCACTGAACACTGACCAGGTGGTAACACATTTGGGCCTCTGCTAAGCTGAAAACCAGTTGAACAGACATAAGGCAAAATACTTTGTGTGTTATTGCTCCCTACAGGAGACACGAGGCATCCAAGCAGGAGATGTCGCGACCCTAACCCCCGGACCTGAACAATGCCAGCGCTGCTGTTAGACTCTATGGATAAGAATAATCAATACATATTTTATTGCCATTTCAAACCCTGCCTCTTCCAGATTCTTAATTTTTCCCCATAATTTTTCACATGTGTAATTTCCAGGATGTTTAATCTTGCTGGGAAACAGTTCAGACAAGGAGCATACATGTAGCAAACTCATCTCACAAATAGCAGACCTCCTTCTCCAGCATCAACGAGAATAATGCAGATGTTAATTGTTGAGCTTTTGCCCTTCTCTCAGTCTGAGGGGGTGCATCACATTTCCATGTGCTGATAGAAAAGATATTTCTCATCTATTTGCAAGGTACTTCTATCTAATACAGTTGTCAGCACTCAGACATGAACTGCCAAAGGCCACATCTGTCTGCTACAGAGAACAGCTCTCACCAAGTTCCCAGAATCTGCATAAATGAATAGCAGCAGCCTCTGAGCTTCTCAATGAGCAATGTACCACTTCCCCACAGTGATGCAGATCCTGTTCATCTGAATCAGCATCATCCATGCTCTGCAGGGCACCACAAGAGTTTCACACAAAATTACTCATTTTCTCACAATAGCATAAAAAATTTTGCACAGAAATGGTAATGACAGGAGGTTTCTGTGGAAAAAGTATGGGGTCACTGTGCTATGTGGGGTTGACATAGCCCTGACCATGTGGGATGTCCTGGGCAGGTTGAGTTTACTGCAAGAACAGACCCTAAGTGTAAGCAAGTATTTGAAATGCATGGAATACCAGTTACATTTCCCAGCACCAGGGCACCAAAACCATACACAGAATCTACTTAATATCTTCATTAAACTGCATTTTCACTGTTGGCATTGCTGTTACAATTGCACCAGTAAAAATGTACCATGTCCACCACAATACAGCACACAGGGCTACCACAGAGGTGATGAGATAGCAGAGGATGTGTACAGCCACTGCACAGGGTTTGGTGCGCAGGCTGTCTGGTGTGAAAACAGTTTTTAACAAAGCAACTAGCTAAATCATTTGTGAGCTTTGGTGTCTTATGCAATGCAAGACTTGTTAAGCCCTGGTCAGATCCCTCTGGCTGGATGTTCTTAACAAGTGGGAGCCTACTTTATTCACCTAGTCCATAAGGACATCCACAGTGCACATGGGAAACAGCCAGGATATGTCATGATGCCTGCCTGCAGGCAGGGAATCATGGAATCCCATACTGGTTTGCGTTGGAAGGGACCTTAAGCTCATTCAGCCCCAACCCCTGCCACGGGCAGGGACACCTTCCACCGGAGCAGCTTGCTCTAAGCCCCTGTGTCCAACCTGGCCTTGAGCACTGCCAGGGATGGGGCAGCCACAGCTTCTCTGGGCACCCTGTGCCAGCGCCTCAACACCCTCACAGGGAAGAGCTTCTGCCTAAGGGGAAATCCTGCCTGACCAATTTGGTGGCCTCTGTGATGGGGCTCAAGAACTGACGGACAGCAGTAGAGCAGCTGATGTCATCTACCTGGACTTGTGCAAAGCATTTGACACTGTCCCACACAACATCCTTGTCTCTACATTGGAGAGACATCAATTTGATGGATGGACCACTCAGTGGATAAAGAACTGGCTGGATGGCCGCACACAAAGCATTGTGGTCAATGGCTCAATGTCCAGCTGGAGACCAGTAACGAGTGGTGTCCCTCAGGGATCAGTGTTGGGACCGGTCTTGTTCAACATCTGTGTCACTGACATGGACAGTGGGATTGAGTGCACCCTCAGCAAGTTTGCTGATGACACCAACCTGTGTGGTTCGGTTGATACGCTGGAGGGAAGGAATGCCATCCAGAGGGACCTTGACACGCTTGTGAGGTGGCCTGATGCCAACCTCATGAAGTTTAACCATGCCAAGTGCAAGGTCCTACATCTCTGTCGGAGCAATCCCAGGCACAGCTACAGGCTGGGCAGAGAGATTCAGAGCAGCCCAAGGAGGACTTGGGGGTGCTGGTGGATGAGAAAATGAACATGAGCCGGGTTCAGTGTGCGCTTGCAGCCCAGAAAGCAACCGTACCCTGGGCTGCATCAAAAGGAGCGTGACCAGCAGGGCGAAGGAGGTGATCCTGCCCCTTTACTCCACTCTCGTGAGACCTCACCTGGAGCATTGTGTGCAGCTCTGGTGTCCTAAGCATAAAAAGGACATGGAACTGTTGGAACAAGCCCAGAGGAGGCCACGAGGATGATCAGGGGACTGGAGCACCTCCCATATGGAGATAGGCTGAGAAAGTTGGGGCTGTTCAGCCTGGAGAAGGCTGTGTGGAGACCTCATAGCAGCTTTCCAGTATCTGAAAGGAGCCTACAAGGATGCTGGAGAAGGGACTCTTCACTAGGGACTGTAGTTACAGGACAAGGGGTAGTGGGTTAAAACTTTAACAGGGGAAGTTTAGATTTGATATAAGGAAGAAATTCTTTACTGTGAGGGAGGTAAGGTGTTGGAACAGGTTGCTCAAGGGAGCTGTGAATGCTCCATCCCTGGCAGTGTTCAAGGCCACATAGGACAGAGCCTTGGGTGACATGGTTTAGTGTGAGGCGTCCCTGCCCATGGCAGGGGGTTGGAACTGGGTGATCTTAAGGTCCTTTCAAACCCTAACTGTTCTATGATTCTAAGACCTAAATAATCTAAATACTAATCCAAAACTCTGTCAGTTTAACCCATTCCCCCTTGTCCTATCCCTACAAGCCCTTCTCAACTGGCAGCCTGCAAGGATTTGCCTTTCACTACCTCAGAAACTTGATGGGTGAATGAACCCACAAAAACCAGATGGGCAGGGACCATCATTAACTGCTATAGGAAGGAGTTAAACTCTTCCCAGGTATACCTGCAGCATAGCGGGCGCAACCTCGGCCTCCTCTTCCTCCTCTTCCTCCCGTACCGCTGCCCTCCACCTCAGCCTCCCTCGCCCGCCTCAGCTCGCCTCAGCAGGGAGGAGCAGGGCGGGAAGGGGCCGCCGCCGCGCGCGCGCGCGCGCACGCCCGCACGCCCGTCCACGCGCACGCACGTACGTCCACGCGCACGCACGCCCGCTCCGGCGCACGCGCACAGGCGCGCAATCCCGCCGCCGAGGCGTGAGGTGAGAGGGGGCCGGTGAACCGCCCCGGCCCGTGAGGGGCAGTCGGGACCGCGCCGTAACGGGGAGGAGCCGCTCCGGGGCGGGCGGGAAGGGCGGTGTCAGGGCAGCCGGCGGGGGGGAACGGTGAGGGGAGGGGGGCAGAGAGGGAGCGGGCGGGCGGCAGCCAGCGTTTCCTATGGCAGCCTCACCGGCTGCGCTTGTGGGCTGGGTTTGGGGTGGGGGCGTGGCTTGGCGGGGCGGAGGGCGCCGCCTGGCGGTGATGGGGAGAAAGGTCCGCCAAGGCTAGACAGGGACTGGGATAATGGGATTGGAGACTGGGATATGGGGAGTGCACGGGGCTGCCGCAGGAATGGGCTGTGCCGCGGTGCTCAGGTCAGTGTCGTACCGGTTCAAGCAGCATTGTAAACAGGGCTAAAGGGGATGGCAGTTCACAGAGGGGAGCTTGTGCCCGAAGATGTTGTGCGGTGTCACTTACGGGCATGGGGTGAAAATCAGCCTGGAAGTTGCTCTCGATTCCCTGAGGGTCCAAGCAGGGATGTGTATCTGGGGTTGAAGCAGCTGCCATGTGCGTGGAGGGGCTGTAGAGCTTCCATGGTGCCTGCACGCAGGAGCATGCCTCCTCACGTGGTGTGTGGAGAGGAATGGTCTGGAAAGAGAAACATGAATCTCAATAAATGAGAGGCAAAATTACCTTGTCAAAGTGAGAGGTGTTTGAGAGCCCACGGTGTAACGCAGCCCTGCTCCCTGGTGGTGTGTAGCTGTGTAGAACATCACTGTACAAGTGCTGTTCAATCAGGCCTGTTCACAGCAGCTAAAACACTGAAACAACACTGAAAACGTAGTCGACATGAACACACTTGAGTTCTGCTCTGCTGTGTCTGTGCCATCTCTTACCTGTTCTCAGTGTTTCTTAGAGGTGCAGACCACCTTCTTGCACAACAGCTGTTCATAACTTCCTGCTCAGCGCATTCCCACCAAAAGCCTCAGCTTGGGGTTGGTTTATATCCACACCACATCTCTTCTTACCTTGGATTTGATTTCTTATGCACAGAAAACACCCTCAGCCACGTCAGATGGTCCCTCTTAAGAAGACTGCTGACAGCCCTTTGCTTCAGGACGCCCTGGGAGGATCTCACCTGTGAGGGCTGTGTGAGAGGACATCTGCAGGAGAGAATACCCTCCCTGCACATCCTGGCTGGGGCAAGGCTTATGCTGCGGGCTCTTAGGCAAGACGGGTTTTACTCAGAGGAGTAAGAACACTACCGAGGCAGAGCAATGGAGCGCCTGGCCTCCTTTGGTAGTAAGTACCAGAAGATGACATTTGGAAAGGGTTTGCTGTTGCTTAAAGGCATTAGCAGCTGTCTGGGGGAAGGAGACAGAAAAGTAGTGGTGTCTGGTCCACAGGTTCACTTCTTTGATCCTGTTCTCAAGAGCACGAGTACATGAATGATGCAGTGAGAATCCAGGTCTTTTTTTTGTATCTACTTTTTATAGTTGAGCTGCTTCAAATCCATTTTCTTGGGTAAAATGTGCCTTATAACTTGACAGTCTGTTTTGACTGTTTTGCCCTGAACTAAATAAGAACTTGCAGAGCAATGCTTCATTCCTGGTTCAGCAATTTGAGCCGAGCCTGAGGTTTGGACAGGTTACAGAACAATCCTGTGATGCCTTTGCAGCCGCAGCAGTGTGCTCGTAGAGGTACTTGAGGGACGTGGATGGGAGACTGCAGCTGTCTGTGCAGTATTCACTGCACATAAGGTCTTTGATGTACTGGATCAAATCAGGCAGCTAGCACAGCTCGATGAGTTGTACCAGGGGTTTCATACAGAGATTTCCCTTTGAGTCCACTCAAAGAGGTTATGTGATTTCCCTTAGGATGACTGGGCACAAGTGAATTTAGGTGACTGCAAAACTGCAGTGTTTGTGTTGCATAAGGTTTACTTCTGGGTTTGCAGATGACCCTTTCGATAAGCCTCCATGCCGAGGCTGCTCATCGTACCTCACAGAGCCCTACGTGAAGTGTGCCGAGTGTGGGCCTCCTCCCTTCCTCCTCTGCTTGCAGGTGAGTGCAAGGATAAAAGCATAAGCATTGATTTCTTTGAGAAAGTCATCAAAGGCCTGTCCAGTGCAAGCTGTTCCATAAGCACATTAATAACTGGTCTCTGTAAACTTGGATCAACAACACTTATTTGCTCAGGGACAGGGAAATGACAAAGAAAATGCTGGAGAAGAAACGAGCCATGAGCAGCTGAAGGAGACCTTTGTAAGGGCATGCAGTCAGCCTGACTCTGTAACAGAGCATGCTGCTGCATGTCTAGGGAGGTATCGTTTCTGTCCTTTTTTATGGCATGGAAAAGAAAAGCCACCAAGAAACACCCATTCCCTGTCCCCACGCATTTCTTCCCCCTCCCAAATGGATGTCTGGGAAAAAGTTGCCGTATTGACCAGAATTGTTTGTGACCAGATACGGTTCTTTAGAAGTTGTATGTGTGATCTGATAAGCACAGAAAGTGCTGGTAGGTTTTATTATGAAATAGTTAAGTTCTATCCTCTATAGAGGATAATAGATAGAGGCAATAACCTCTAAAGCTGAAAGAGGAGCCCGGAGATGTACAACATACATAAACCCATATTTTGTATATTGGGGGTACTTGTGTTCATTTACCTCTACTTAAAAACCCACAACTATAGCTGTTGAAAACGCCTGCATGCTGGTGCTTTTTAAACAGGGAACCAAGATTAAAGGCAGACTGTGTTTTCAGTACTCTCTTCTTGGAACGATCCACTTTACAAATACCACTGAGCTTTTTTCACCCACTTGACTTTGCCATAAGTATGGTGATTCACAGGGGTCCTGTCTGGGTGCAAAAGGCAAGCAAGATACAAAGATTTAACACGATTTTAACACAGAATTTCCTACTTTTTATGTTTTTTTCTAAAAGGAAATCAGAAAAAGGTTAATACCTTGCAAGCAAAGCAAATTGTCCACCTGTAACATAATGAAACAGTGGAGACATTTAAAGGTTAATACCTTTTTCAGCCTCTCAGGTGGGCAGGCTTGGGTACCCAGTGGTCAGGGAATAAAAGGAAGAAAGAGACAGTTCAAGTGTTTTCAGGGCAGAAGTAAGGGACTAACATCATGCTCATCTTTTGTTCTGCAGTGTTTCACCCGAGGATTTGAATACAAGAAACACCAAAGTGATCACACTTACGAGATAATGGTAAGTAGTCCTTTTTGGTAACTCCTACCCTTGAGCTTTCATAACTTCACAGGAGTTGGACCCTTGCTTACTAATGTTGCATTGAAAAGTTAAGTGATGCAATTATTTCATTCAGAGGTTTAGAATCATCCAAAAAAGAAAAAGTATTCCTTGCAAGCAAAGCAGATTGTCCACCTGTAACATAATGAAACAGTGGAGACATTTAAAGCTACATCTTTGATTGTGCCTGGATAGCACAATGCACCTCACGAGACTTCTTTAAGCATGTGAATCAACTTCTGCTTCTCTATTCTTGTTTTTTCTTGCCCCAAATCAATCGTTTTTAAAGCCTTCAGTAATTTTTACTGTGTTTCATAGCATGACACTGTTCAATTGCAGCTGGTTTACAACATGTAACAGTGCAGCAGAAGATCCATAGTGACAGACTACTTTTTGCTGTAGTTGATGGCCCAGTGCCCTAAATAACTCAACAGTTACTTGATCAGGTTTCATAGGACACAATAAAAGTTGAAAACTATCAGTATTATATACTGTGTGTTTAGAACTTCCTTGCTCTCCATGTGATGGATTAGAATAGAGGATCACAGCAGTCTTACGTGCTTTTTTCCTCTCTAGACTTCAGATTTCCCTGTCTTGGATCCTAATTGGACAGCTCAAGAGGAAATGGCGCTCCTAGAAGCTGTGATGGACTGTGGATTTGGAAACTGGTGAGAATTGAGTGGCTCAGGCAACTTCAGTGAACGATGAGTAGTTTTTCCTTTCATTTCATTGGATCTTGCTACTGAATCCATCAGTGCACACTGAATGTTCAGTGATTTTCTGTGGGTGAGACACTGATTCAGCAGCTGAAGTGGCAGACTAGGGTAGCAGATTCTGTTTTCAATCTGCTGTCAGATATACAGGGAAATTGTTAAAGGCTTCTTGAGGGATGCAGGGCACCTCCAGTGAAGAAGTTCCCTCAGTTCACATTAAAGTCACTGTGTTTTGAAGGAATTCAACTATTGCACAAGGGTTTTCTGTGCCTCAGTTTACTTCTACATGAAAACCAGCTACAGAACTTCTTACCTGGGGTGGTTTCAGTTTGCTTACAGCTGACTACCTGGGTGTTGTTATTTTTGGAGGTTTCCTGTTCCTGTGTCATATTTAGGGTAGAGAACTGGAAACATTAAATATATTTCATGTTACATTCACATCTGTTGTCCGACAGGATTTTTATGCACTTGTAAATAAAGGAGATTGATGGTCATGAGTTCTCTCCTCTCCTTCATGGAAAAATAGCTATATTAAAAGTATAGAGTTCCAGAGTCCACTGGAACAGAACTGTGAGTTCTTGTGTGTACAGTGCTGTCATGATTAAGACTGAAAGCTGGTTGCAGTTATGAGCTGCAAGTACGCTGTCTAGTACACTTTGGCCTACTTAGCAATACAAATAACCTTAACTTCTCCCTTAAACATTTGGCTTTTTTCAGCCTTTACCAAATAAAGGAAAAACTGACTTTTCTTCCTGGAATCCCGTGGATCCAGTTTTCAGTTTAACCGAAATTGCAGGGATTGTTGCTGCTGGATTATTGCATTGAAAGTCCTCAACTTACCCAGGCGTTTCATTAAGAGAAAATATTTCATGTTTCTGGCCAACCACTTCTCCAACAAAGTTTGCCAAAGATTTCTAGACTGTGTTTTGTAAAACCATTTTGCTGTTGGAAAAAGCCTGTTTAACACTGCTGCATGAAAGGGGAAACCACTGCCCTCCAGTTAAAATCGCAAGAGAAACTTGAGAGGCAAACTGCAGTTCCAGACTTTGAATTTACCATTACCTGGAGCTGGTAGAATGTGTAAATGAATAGAAAGTATAAAAAGCTCTCAAATCACAATACTCAGGTTTCACACGTACAAAAGATTTGGTATATGCTGTCAGCCAGAGAGTTTCTCCTCTAAAGACAGTGAATTGCATTGCTCATGACCACCAGAAATGTGAACTGCATTGCTCATGACCACTAGAAAAGGGCTCCGTGGCACTGTGAGCAAACCTGTAAGTATTGGCTCAGTGTTAGTGTGCGAAATGTGAATTCAGACAGTACCACAGAGCAGTTTGCTGCACACAATGCCTTCACTTTCTTGTCCACAATTACCTTTTCCCACTAGAGAAAGGTACAAACCCCTCAGCATTTCTGTGTTCTCCATATTAAGCCTCCCCCTCTCCCCACTTCAGGCAGGACGTAGCCAACCAGATGTGTACGAAATCCAAGGAGGAGTGTGAGAAACATTATATGAAACACTTTATCAACAACCCCTTGTTTGCATCTACGTTACTGAACCTGAAACAGGCCGAGGAGGCGCAGCACAGCGAAACAGCCATTCCTTTCCACCGTGAGTATCTCCTAGCACATGCAGGGAGCTTCTCCCGAAGATCTCTGCTCTTCCAAAACTGGAGTAAGCAGGCTATGGAGAAAGGCATGCATCACACATTCAGTTTGCTTTCACTGACTCGAATAATGTTAGTAGTAGGGTTTTCTTCAGGCTAGTGTAATCCTGGTGTATCAAATAGACACAACTGACAGTTCAGTGAGGAAAGGGAGGGAACAGCATGGTCTGATACAAACAACAGGTTCTCAGATCCAGAAGTTCCTGCACAGCCAGTGCAATGGTCACTCGCAGAAATGACCACAGCAAAAGCATTTAGAGGGCAAGCTACCTCAAAGCTAATTCACATGTAGCATGGTAAACCAGCGTTTCCTTCATCATAAATACCAGTGTGAGCTCTCACCCTGGAGTGGTTATTTTTGTCTAGACCTTGCGTAGCAATGTTAACTGAGAAGGGACTTCTGCCTTTAAAACCTTTCATCTGATCATCCACTCGGTATAGATGTGATTTGTCCTAAAATCACTCCCTTTAAACTGTCCCTCTCGCATCGCTCTCTTTAAAACTGCCTTTTCAAAAGCGTATGCGAAATTTCATCAGTTTAACAGATTTCCAGTTTTCCTTAAATATAACATCTTTAGGATATCCCCCCCATGTAGCACCTGTTCCATTGTAAAGCTCCCCAGAATGGCTGGGTAAAGGGATTGCTTAGTAGCTGGAGGTTTAAATTTCATGCTGAAGTGGCTTCAGCTAAAGCAGCACTGGACAATTTTGGTTCTCTGTGCCTCAGCTTACTTAATCTATAGCCTGAGACTTGTAATGTTCCACTCCTTCACAAGTGTGTTGTGAGCCTCGCTCCCTTATTGTCTGTAAAACACTGAGCTCCTCAGCTGGGAAGCACTGTAAAAGATCAGGGTCATGTGGCTTTAATTGCAGCTCTCTCTGAATAGCACCCAGAAGATGGCAGATTTAGCACCCCTCTTGCTATTAACTAAAAGAAGCTGCATGCTGAGAGCAAGTGATCTGCAGGGGTTTGCTGGGGGGATGCTGAGCTCTGAAATGTAGAGTTTACATTTTATAACCTATTCATTACCTCTGATTTCTGTGTTTGACTTTCGAGACTCCTATGAAGATCTCAGATTACTGCCTTTTTCCCTGGGTAAACTCAGTCTTGCTCTCAATGTATTGCTGAAGAAAAGCCCAATCAGGGTGCTTTTCTTCCAACTAATTATTCCCACTTTTCCTGCAAAAGAAACACCTATTTACAGAGAGTGAAAAAAGCCCTACACAACAACTACAACCCTTTATGTTTTCAGCTGCTGATGATCCCCCACGGCCTACGTTTGATTCCTTGCTCTCCAGGGATATGGCTGGGTACATGCCAGCGAGAGCAGACTTTGTTGAGGTAAGACTCCCTCTTCTCCCATTGCTTTAAATGTACTACTGAATGCAAGATTGGCAGAGGCACACTTGTTTGCTCCTGCCCATAGGTCTTTACTCTTCATATAAAATGAATCAGAGGACAGGACAGTGATTATTAAGGATTTAGTTGCAGAGGTGGTGCTGCAGCCCTGCAGAGCTGTGGGCAGGCATCAAGGAGTCCCTGCCCTTGTGCACAGGGGCTCTATGGCAAGCGTGCTGCTGCCACCAGATGTCCAGCAATGAATGGCTCTTATGTAAGTGGACTAGATGTGGTGAATTAGATGCTCAGCAAAAGGGGTCAGCTTCAGCATGCTTCTGTTTCATTTGCCTTAGAGAAGCACGTACGAGGCTGATCCAAAGACTGCTTGAAAGACCTGCATTGTTTGCAGTGGTTTTAGCTGTGGGCCCAGAGCCCCAGTTCCTATTGCAAAACAAGCTCCTGCACATGAAGTCATGAATTCAGCCATATAGGGGCTTGTTGGTTTTGTACATCTGAGCAGTATTTCCACCCCAGTGTGGGATTCATGGAGACTGCCTGATTAATTCTCATTATCATATCACAGCATCCTGTTCCCCTTCCAGCCACTGGGGTGCACATCATACATTCCCTACTTAAATCTCCCCTGTGATGTATGTTGCTCAAGGATGGAACTTTGCACAGCTGTGTATGAGTAAATACCTCTGTTTTCAGTACTTCTATCTGTACTGGCACTTGAGACCCATTTTTTACTGCTAGTTAATGACAATCTATTAATCACTTCTGAACAGGAGTTTGACAACTATGCTGAATGGGATTTGAGAGATATTGATTTTGTAGAAGATGATTCAGACATTTTGCATGGTAAGTCCCATATTTTCATACATTGTCTGAAAACAATGTTTCAGAGTTGCCCACACAGCATTTCATCAGGTCTCTTTTTTCTCCACACACTAAAGAAGGAACATACATCTATTAATGATCTCAGTTCTGTGTGCTGGGATTTAAACACTGGCATTTCTACAGTCCTCATTTTCAAACCTCTTTTAAAAGCTCTTAATCAACTGACATACAAATGGTACTTGTATAGAGAATAATGCACTTCACTCACTGCTGAAATACAGCCAGTTGTAAAGTAGAACATGACGGAAACCAGTCAGTCTCCACCAGTAGTAGGCCCCTCTTTAGGAAAGACACAAATGATGTTTTATCCAGTGTAAACTCCAGAGAAAGCTTAGCTAAGTAGAAGCAAATCATCTGAGATAGATAGCAGTTTGTCTGGAAACAGCAGCACATCACCTTGAATAAATGGACCTAAAGGCCTATTAAAACCAGAAACATCAATGCCTCGATATTACTTCCTCTCCCTGGTTGAAAGATACTCTTTCCATCTACATAATGTTTGTGAGCACCATAGCAAGGCACAACTTTTGTTCTGATCCAGAAAGAGGAACACTTTCTTCTCTGGTGCTAGTAGCCTATTTCCCCTGTTACATCTGGTTTCTTAGACCTGTCACTTATTCTAACCTCTGTTAGTTTAGGGGATCTGGTATCAGAACAGGTATTAATACAGGCAGCAAGCAGGTATGTAGTTTAAAACTATGTGCAACACATTGAAACTGTTCTACTCTTGAAGCTGTTTGGTTTCCATGTGTTAAACACGAAACTGAGTTACAGGAGCATTAGCTGAATGTGACAACTTATTGTGAAGGGGGTGGTTGTTGCGTTACTGCTACTGAGTTTCTGTGAACGTAGCTGCCTTAATACCAAATAACAGGAATTATTAAAATGATGTTTTAATCCACAGAGAAAAAGAGATCATGCTTTTCCCCACAGTTACAAGTACATACAGTGTTTGAAAGCACTGTCTTTATGCCCCAGAATTCTCCCATCTGTGTCAGGCAGTTCTAAGCTCAAGCCTCAGCATCCCCTTAGAGACAGACAAATCCTGTTACATATAGAAAGTCTTTCCAAACTTAAGAAATCACTTTGAAATTTAGCAGTGCTTTAAGGAATGCAAACTCCCTTGGCTCAATAAAGGTTATGAGAATCGTATGGCAGACTCTCTTCCCTTTTAACGTACGGAAACAGGGACTGGCTTGCGGACACGTCAGATTCATCAAGCCATTTCTACGCTGCTTTTTCTTATTACTATTAAAAGATGTATTTTCTTGCTTCCACGTCCTATCCTGAGTCCTGGTAAACTGAAAAAGCCAAAGAATCTCCTGTTAGCACCCAACAGCATTTGCACAGGAGAAGAACGTAAGAAAAGGCAAGTACTGACAGATCCTTTTCCTGGCATATCTTCCACATTTCCTGCAGTGATACATTTGAAGGCTCCCTGAGCCCCAGGTTGTGCTCAGGCCATTCTCACCAAGGGAGCTTTCCTCCATGAACTTCACTGGCTGCTGGCAGAGCTGTATGTATTGGTACTCCTGCTCCCATTGCATCCTGCAGCAGCGAGTTCAGCAATCGAGTTAGGAGTTCTGCAATTGCATTATGTGTTGGGTGAAAAAAGACTTCCTTTTGTCTGTCAGAGCTTTCACCCTATAATTTCATTGGAGGTTCTCTGGTCCATTCTTCAGTCATCTCCAGTATTTAGTATGGGATGTTAGGCATTTGCCTTGTGAAAACTCTTTGGCAGAGGTTATGGAGCGTGACCAACTACATTTTCGATCTCTTAGCTCAAGAACTCTGGCATCTTCCTTCCCACAGCTGTCCTGGATCTGCCCCTATGAGAGAATGCCTCTAAAGATGAAGCCCAGGGTCTAACCAGTTGGCTTTCTTTTACATGAGGCCTCTTTGGGACAGAAAGAGCTGTCTTCTAGAAACCTGTGGGATTAGGTCTTGCCCTTCTCCAAGGAAAAAGGAGCCACTTCCTCCCTGTCCAGCAGTTTTAAACATCCCAAGTGCTGATCTGATTTTGCTTCCTTGCTTGAGAATACTTTGCCACCTAGCTTAGGATTTCCTACTGTAGAAAATGGCTCAGTCTTTGGCTCTGACTGCAGGGTGATTTCTACGGTCTCCATTTCTTCCGTTTCCCAAGTCACAGATCAGTGCTGCAATGTCTCACTCACACGTAGCACACAGGAGTATTTGCTGCTTGCATTGGAATGGAATTCCTCCTTCTTCCCTCTCCCCCTCCCCATTGCTCTGCCTTTCTTGAAATGGTGTAACAATCATTCCATAAAAAGCTCTGGATCGGGGCTGCTTGGCCTCTTGTCTCCTGATCCCATCGCATCTTCCCTGTCACCTTTTCCTGTGTCACCCTGAACAAGTTCTCAGCATTCCCACAAGAAAGAAAAGTGCAGTTTAACACCAGGTGCAAAGCCTCCCAGGCAGCCTTTTAGGAGGACCCCAGAAACCTGTATTTCCAGCTCCTCCCACCACACAGGAGGTCACACACATCGTCAGTTGCTGCTTGATGTTAGTGAGATGGCAGAAACAGTGTGGAACCTCAGATTTCAGTTAACTTCTTGAACTGTCAACTTCTGTTCAGTACTTGCAGTATAATAAGTGCATGCAAGCCTATATTGCAGTCGAACACAAATATAATGGATGGATCAAAAGAAACAACCAGTTACAAATCTCAGTCAGCCCAGAGCGCTTGAATATTTCATGAATTACAAGTTTGCCTCAGAATGAATTATAACATGAGTAACTTATCCTTTTCCTGGCTTTTTCTGCCCTCTCCTTCTCATGTAAATGATTTTCACTTCTAACACTGGAAAGTAGGTGCTGAAACCACAAGAAATGAGTGGGAATAGGCTGCAACTGTGGCTGGACAGCAGGGACACTTCATTGTACAAGACACAAGGCAGTCAATGTCCTTCTAAATACTACATGAATTTATTCTTTCTCTATTCATATTCTCCTGAGAAGCTCTGAAGGCAGGGTCCTGCTTTGCTCTAGGGAGGGTGAATTTGGGTGGTAGCCATTGCACACACTGGACACACAGCCTGTGAACTTTGATTGGTTTGCATTCTTCCCATTGTTTGGGCCTTGCATCCCAAACAGGTTCGTGAGTGTGAAACAAAGGCCTCACTCATTAGTGCTCAGAAAAGTTTGTGCAGAGCAAATGAGGCTGAAGAGGAATGAAAAGCAAAGAAACCAGTTTGGACACACTCTTGAGAAACCAAAATATTTGGATTCTTTGGAATGAAGAAAGGGGCCTTGAATTCCTGCCTATTGCCGCATCCTTCTGAGCTGCTCCGACCAGCTCAAAGAACCTTATCACTTCCCAAAATGGACACTTTGAACACGGTGTCAGCTTGGATTATCTTAAAGCTACTGGTACAAACAACTGCCTCCCTAGCATAATCCATGGGGAAAAGCACAGGCAAATCATTTTCATTCATACAGCATCTCTTTTCTCATTTCAATGCAGCGTGGAACAGTATAGTAGCCTGAGTTATTCATGCATTCCAGATTCTGTAATTGGCTGTTCCTGGGTGAATATGTCTATTAAAAACAAAAGCCCCTCCAAAAAGTGCATGTGGCAGCAAATACTAATTTTCCTGTGAGGAGAAGCTCCCTTCTTTCCCTTCATTTGCTAGCAGGAATGTTCCTTCCCCTCCCCAGTTGATCCTTATTTCCTTCAGCATCTGGTGCGCTCAGGTGCAGGCATCGAAAGGCGATGGTTGTAGGTGCATAATTACTTGTGACATATATAGAGGTTCTCAGTGCAGTTTCTGCCTGTACTTCTAAGTTCTGCCCACACAAACCCCAGGAAACCGAGTGTAAGCTGAGCTTGCAGAGGGTTTAAAGACAGAAAAATATTTCCCATAAATTGGCACTGATTCCACCCCTTAGGAAGAGGTTTCATTCATGCTTAACTTGCTGTG